CACTCAAACGTGCCCTTGGCAATGATGCCTTCGTTGTTGCCCCATCTGCGAAGCACAACCCCCTCCTTTCGGCTTTCTCTGCTTTATTTCTGAACATTTATCGCCGGTCAATACGTTATGCATTTTACTTATCGGATTTGCTTTCTTGTTCCTTCCACTCCATGTTAGCTGTCTCAGCACGGGAATGTCCATGGACAGTTGTGGTGCAGATCTGCAGAGGCTGAGCCGGGGGCCCTGCACCTCTAGCAGAGATCCCACTGGCTTTAGTTGGCACAAGAATCCTAGAGTTGCATCTTCCAGGGACCATGTGGGTTGGGGTAATTAATGCATCAAATATAACCTTGACTGAGGGCAGGTAAGAGTCTTTCCCCCTAATATTCCAGGACTTTGTAACATGAGGCATGAAAAAGTTTTAGATACATACACACCTAATAAAGATAGACTTTTCAAAAAAACTAGAAGGAATTGGGACTTTGGATCAAATTTATTTGAATTAGGAAGATGCCACATTTCATTCCTATCTAGGTTTATGCCCAATAATTCATATTCACAACAACAGTTCTTAATGAAAAGCAGTCAACAAACAGAACAGATCCTGGTCCATGCATGCCAAGAAAACAGAATTTAAATATGGAAATGCAAAGGCAAGGGAAACTTTTTCACATCTCCCCAAACTCTTCCTGTGGGCTCGCCATGTTTAATTATCGCTTTCTTCCATAGCTCCCTCCGGATTTCATAGTAAATTCTGATAAGCACCAGAATCTGATAAGTCAGGGTTTGCTTCTTGCGTTCTCCCTCTGGGTGGAAGAAATGCTGCTAATGAGGAAAGACTAGGCTTGGGCTTCTTTGATGACCAGAGCAGCTGACTCTTCAGTCTTTGCACCGCTCCCTTAGCAGAGCGAGTCTGTGTTTGCACCCTGCCTCCTCGCAGCCGAGATTGCCCACAGACGCGCATGGGCTCAAAAAGCCAAGCCTTTCTGGCCAATAAGAGTTGTTGGTACCTCTGCCTGTGGTTTAGTCTGGCGTTCACCTGCTGGGTTGCGGTAAGCACAACCCCTTGGCACAGCTTTTGAAATCTGGCCTCCATGTAGAATGGGGACCACCTGTTCAGTGAGGGGAGGGCTGCCTATGTTCTTCAACTAGAGATGACAAACAAGGGAAAGGATAAAAAGCCGTTTTGTTTATTTGGCCAGTAGTATGGCAACAACAAACAAACTTAATTTTCTTCATGCGTTGACATTTGTGAGGTAAGTGTTCAAAGTTAGAATATTTCTGTTCTATGAAAACCTGTGACAACCGCATTATTGACAGCTCGGGGTACTATATCAAGTCTCTATAAATTCAAACTCACTGCCATTGGGTCCCTTCTGGCTCATTGGGACCCTTTCGGGCAGGGTGGCACTGCCCCTGTGGGTTTCTGAGACCGTAGCTCTTTATGGGGGTAAAAAGCCTCATCTTTTTCCCTCAGAGAGGCCAGTACTTTTGAACTACTGATCTTCCGCTTAGCAGGCCCAATGCTTAAAACTACCCAAAGGTCTCGGCATCATATTTGGTTATGTGTTGCACTGCTAACCACAAGGTCGGAAGTTCAAACCTACCTGCTGCTGTGCGGGAGAAAGATGAGGCTGTCCGCTACCATGAAGATTTATAGACTTAAGAACCCTACATTGAATCATTATGAGTTGGAATTGATGTGTTGGCAGTAGGTCAGGTTTTATAGTCACTAGTTTTATGAGTGATCCAAAGAGTGTTTAGAAGGTATGGTGTAAATTATTCTACAAACTAGGAAGGGGCTTTGAATGGTCCTGTGATAAATCCCCCAGCCATAACTTAGATGAGTTAAAACCTCAACTCACTTTTCTTTAAGACCTCCAGGGACTGAAGTTCCTCATTTTCTCTAAACATACCCCACTGTAAAACAGTTGATTATGGCAGTGCAGGAGTTCATCAGCATGAGCGTTCCCCGTTAGTTTATGTTTGTCTGACTTCCTAAAGTTAACAAGTTACTGGATGGGTTGATCCTAATGGAAAAGTGGAAAAGCAGCCATGGGCAATTATCACTTGAAATAAGTAGAAATAGGTCAAGAGAATATCTTCTCTACATAAACGGGGGTGGGGGGTGGTGGGGGGTGGATTAATTCATGATAGTAAAGGCTAGTAAAAAGATATATTTTTAAAAAAAACCCTTACCTTCTAGCTCCACAGGGTGAAAATTATTTCACAACAATGATTTTACAGGAACACAGACAGGTTGCTAAGATTCAGTGCTTTCCTGCCCTTATCAGCAGTTTGGCTGATGGTCTTCACCTGTAACACATTCCTATTTATTTCTCATCCTGTCAGCCTATCCATGTAATTATTATTTTATTGCCAACCCTTTTCTTACAGCTATTAATACCCAAACCCTTCTATTCTATATCTGTCAGGTTGAAAAGAAGAGCTAAAATACAAGGGTCAAGAAAACCTAGTGTTGATATTTATACCAGAAGTTTCTTCGGTACCTACGTGCATGTGCCAGGCATTGTGCATAGGGTTTCACGATGCCAGAGAGAAGGCAGGCCTTGCTCCCAGGAGCTCACAATCTGCAGCTGATGAGGGCTGGTGCAGACAGGCTGGGCAAGGCAGGCAGGCAGTCATTTGACCATGATAGTAGTGCAGGGTTATACAGGGTGATGTACAGGGCTGTGGAGGCTGCATGGTAAATAACTGCGTCTAGCAGGATAGCAGGGGAGTAGGATGGGACAGGGGTTCTTTATAGAAAAGAAAATGTTTGAGCTGAAATTTGGAGCGAGTGCAGGTTGATAAGGTAGGAAGAGGTTGACATTTCTGAAAATGTCAAAAAGGGACAAGCTCAAATCCAAAAGGGCATGGCATTTAGAGAAGACTGCAAGGAGGTTGGAATGGGGGGTCCACACGGGGTTATGATTAGAGTTGAAGCTAGAAAAAGAGGAGGAGAAGAGATCATGGAAGATCTGTTTATTAGCTGGGAAATGGAGAAGGAGCCGGGTCCCACTGAGAAGGTCTCTGTGGTCATGATAGGAGTTTCTGAGATTGGAGCAGGGACAGTAAAGATCGCTGACTTTTAGACACATGTGTTAGGCAAGCAACCCCAACTCATCTCTTTTTAATTCAAATGAGAGCTGAACATTCTTTCCTAGAGGTAAAAGACTTGAGGGATCTTAAAGAATGGTAGACAGGACCCCTGTTCAGACTCAGTTTCAGGAATTATCCTCATCCCAGAATCAGTTCCTTCCAGGAAAGAAAAGGAGCTTTCTTTAAACCAGACCAAACGAACAACAACAAAAACTCCTAGCGAGGTGAGAAAATGAGTCCAATAAATGAGACTGGAAAATGCCCCAACACAGTTGCTTCCCCAAGTTTAATCTTCTGCCTCCAGGGTTGTCTGTATAACAAATCCACGGTCTCATTAACACTCATTTCTGTAGCACAGCCAACGTGTGTTAGGCTATTTCAGAAGCAGAGGAAATAGCTAGACTGTGTTGTTTTCTTTACAAAGCCATTGACACGGGACAGCCCTCTAAAAGTCTGAGAAAACTTTGACTAGCATGTAGCATTGAGAACAGCTGAAAAATGGCCTGGCATTCACTGTCCAAAGTTATTCATCATGCATTTTGGGAGGTCTTTTACTTAATCTACCGACAGTAAGATTTTTCTTGTACTCAACACAGACTCTGGGTGATCTAACTGACTAGGTTAGAGTAGCCACAGAAGCAATGAGATGCAGCTTGCCCTGAAGAAACTTCACTTCTCTTTGAAGTCAGGTGGTTTGAATTTAGGGCTGTTAATCAGCTAGAGTATAACTTATCTTCTTCCACCTTTCAGGACTTTCTAGAAGATGTTCTCCTCTGACGTCTAAGGTCTAGAACTGTTCTCTAAATTATGGTACCGTTATCGGCTCAATGATAGAAAATAACCATGTCATGGTTGTCCCAATGATGATGGTGCAATGATCAGAAAGATGCCAATGATGACAAGTGAACGTCCCTTTGCCTTCCCAGCCTCCTTCATATATTCTCAGGCATAGGATGACAAAGGGAAGTCCACGAGTCACATGAGGAAAGACTGTAGCCATGGATACACGATCAGAAGCTCCTCTGTTCGCTTCCACCCCCACCTCTACTTCATGCCCCTGTCCCATATCCTTCCCATGTTTCTCCACCACCTTGCCCCCAACTACCATCTTCTGCTCAACGTTCTGCTGATGACTCATTCCAACCATACTGAAACTCCACCCGTGCCTGGTGCAGAGTTGGTGCTTGATTAATTCTTCAATGACTTGATTACCCCAAGGCTTCTTTTTGAATGAAGCAATGCTTTCTGTCTGTGAGGCAGAAAGAACAAGGGTTTGGGAATACATCAGCCTAGATTTGTACCTGCCTGAGCCACTAACTGGACTGAAGACGAAGGCTGAACATCTCTGAGCTGCCATTTTGTCAGTTTTGAAAAAGGTGGATAACAAAGACTATTTAAAAAGATACCATGTATTAGAATGCCTAGTGCTTGAGACATCATAGGACCCCAATAGATGCTCATTTTCTTCTTTTCTGATAAAACTGCCACTTGTCCTACATGGTGTATTTGTTGTTCGTGGCTGTTGACCTTGTGGAGACCCAAGTATGCAGAGTAGAACCCCACTCAGGGATTTCTAGGCTGTCACATTTTGGAAGCAAATGGCCAGTCCGCACTTCCAAAGTGCTGCTGGGTGGATCTGAACCACCAACCTTTAGGTTAGTAGTCAGCATTTAACCTTTGTGCCACTCAGGGACTCTTGTATCTTTAAGGCAATAAAAATTGAAATAGAGAATGATTAATCTATGAAGTGTGTAGAAGTCTCAGGAAGAGCGAGAGAGAATCAGGAATCACAAGGGGTGGGGCGGGGGATAGTGTTAGAAAATTATAAAGGAAATAAAGGTTCATATGGTTAATTTTCTTGGTTGGGTTTTAAGAGGAAATTCAAGGTGTCCATTAATTATACTTACCAATTGGGTCTAATTGGCAACTACCCCAAAATGAATAAAACAAGCGGGAGTCAAGAGAGAAAAACGGCAGGCATCCTGTCAAAAAATAAAATCTTTGAAATTTCTACAACCCAATGGTCGGACACACATTTTATTAAAGCATCTTGCTGTGTTCATCTAGTCTAGGTAGATTTACACCAATGACGGCAATCCAAGTTTCACAATGAGAGCCATGCAAAGTGTCTAACAGCCTTCAGAACCAGCCACGGCTCATCTCATCCCTCCTTTACTTAGACAGGTTTTACAATCAACATTCCCTTGGCTGGAACAAGTGGCCTTCATGATTCTGGTCCAACATACGTAAATGGACACTCTTGTGACGAAAGGATTAAAGGAACGAATCCATGCTAGGGGTGGCTCACTACTTAGTAAGTCCTCAAAAAATGGTAATTGTTGTTATATTAATTTCAATGAGTATTATTCTTTTTCCCCGCTCCCCCCTTGTCTTCCAGGATAGAATATAATCTGGATCCCCCCTCTCTCCTATTTTATGAAACATTTTTCAGATTTCTGGAGAAACAAATGTCATATGCTTCAATTATTAGTTAGCTACCTTTGGACATAAAATAATTCAATTTTCAGGGGCAAATTCATTCATTGCTTCCACCTTTGAAGTGGAACTGATTCGAATTTTGAATGTGGTCCTTGCCATGTATAACATTATAATATTTGCTGAAATGACCCTCATATTTTCCTCTTTCCTTTTTTGTATCAAGAAGACAAATCGGTATCTACCTATCATTGCTGCTGTTCGTTGCCATCGAGTGGATCCTGGCTCATGGTGACAGTGTGTTTGTGTAGACCTGTGCTCCATACGGTTTTCAAGGCAGATTTTTCAGATGTCAATGGCCAGGCCTTTCTTTGGAGGTACATCTGGTGGCTAAGCACCACCTACCTTTTGGCTAGTCATTGAGTGTTTCATTGTTTGTGCCTCCAGGAAGTCTATATCTATCTAGATTTGGATATACATTTCTCCCACCAAAGAACGTTATCAAAGCCAACTCGGAATAATACATTTTCTACCAATTTGACTATTCTACCCAAGACGGGGAGATCCACATGGAAGTAATAATATCCTGGCTCTGGAGCTGCTAATGTATTAGATAAGCTTCCTTTGTCTGATGCTAGATGGCTCTGATCTAGACCTCCGAAGAGAAGCGAGGGAGCTGCTAGCTTCTGCTCACCTTTTGCTCCTTCCTTAGAACAAAGGGCCATGGCAGGTCCTTGATCTGCAATCTACATCTCTGGTCTGAGCTTCATAAGCTCAAACCAGACTTCTGGAGCAGCCACCTAAACCAACGACCATCAAGTACATTCAAACTCCTGGTGACCCTCAAGGACAGAATAGAGCTGGTTCATAGAGTTTCCAAGGAAAAAGCTGAAAGCAGGCTGCCACCTCTTTCTCCCATAGAGTGTTGGTGGGTTTGAACCACCTACTTTGGCTTAGCAGTCCCACACTTTAACCACTGGGCCACCAGGGCTTCTTAGAGCTGCCACAGTGGGTGACAATCATGAAGAGTTGGGGGATCCCAGGAGGTAAATTGGTGGTGTGAGGTATTTCCATTTTTCATGGAAAATCTTGTGGTAACTCCCCAGTGCCCACACACAAACTGGCAAGACTGCCTTTTCATTAGCAGGCGCTCACAGGGCGAAACAGAAAGCAACAGCTCTTGGAGCACAAAAGGCAAGGGTTGGCTTCCTGGAATTCCCAGCAGTTTGCCAAATAACAAACCACGAGTGACTACTGTAAGCTTTTCCAGAAAATGACTAATTCATATGTTCCCGAGAACATGAATTCTCCCAGGCCTCTCTACCGCTGTGCACAGCAATGACATCACTTGCTAACTACCATGGGTGAAGCTTCAAATAGACAACACCAACACAACTCCCCCCACACCTCCAGAAATGCAGCATTTGTTGAGGGAAACAAGCACAGAATTGGCTTGGGACATCTTTCCTGCAGAGTTAACACCACACTGGTATTTTCTGTTTATTTCTTCTTCTACATTTTTTGGGTTGCATTTATCAAACCCTAATTACAAAAAATTAAATGACACTTTAAGGAAGATCAATCAAGGTAAGATGAATGGTATAACTAAGAATGGAAAGGTTTGGATCTGAAGTCTATCTCTTGGATGTGCCCTTCATTGTGCAGGTGTTTCCTTAATTAACTTTGGGGCCTAGTAGAGAACATAATCTCAAGGGAGAGATGAGGGAATAACGGTCGAAGGGCCTGCCATTGCAATGTCAGTGGGCTGAGAGCTCTGCCCCAGTTGATTGCTGCTCAGCGTCAGGGAACTTGTCTTCTTTGAGGAACCCTGGTGGTGTAGTGGTTTCAAGTTGAGCTGCGATCTGCATAGTGGGCAGTTCAAAACCACCAGCAGCTCTGAGGGTGAAAGTCTGGGCTTTCTACTCCTGTAAACAGTTACAGCCTTGGAAATTTACAGGGAGGTGGAGTTTGCTATGAGGCAGCATGGACTTGATGGCAGTGAGTTTGGTTTTTTTGTTTTGTTTGAGTTGCTCAGTGCTCTATCAAACAGAATAAGAGGAGTCTCCCTGCCCCACCTCCACCAATAACACAAGCAAAGAGACACAACTGGGAGATTAGGGTTGTGGGTCAGTTCACTATATACATTTATATACCTGGAGATTTTCAAAGTGAACCTTCCCATCTGCAAACTGAACCCCCAAAAGGAGATGAAATATACTGCCCTCCTATCCCTATGAAACGAAATCCACTGCCGTTGAGTTGCCTTTGACTCATAACAGAACAGAGTCGAACTGCTCGGTAGCGTTGCCAGGACTAAATATTGACAGGAGCGGACGGCCTCATCTTTTTCCCTTGGAGTGGCTGGTGGGTTTAAACCAACAACCTCATGGCTAGCAGCTCAAGGCTTAGCCCATGGTGCCACCTTTTCTGATTCTCTGGTCTCCCCTATAAAGGGTAGTTGGCCAGCGGGAAACAATGAAATGTGTATGGTGGTTTTATTTCCTGAAAAAGAAATCCTACTTCACATCTAGTCCTTATTCATGCTTGCAGCTAAAATTTGTTTACATAAGTAGATGAAGATAAACAATGTAATGAGAGCAAAATAAATATCGATGGACCCCATGCTTTGCTCAACATTCCTGAGTGTTCAGAGTGTCTGCGGAGAGGGTGGCAATCCCCTGCCCCCATCCACCCCTCAAAAAGCCTTC